GCGCCAAACATTTTGGCATTCCATTGAATGCGTCAACAATTTTAGTGCATTCACTCCATAAAACTCGTTTATTATCTACTCTCTCCGCTTATATCATTTAATAAGGTGTTGTTCCTTGCAATTTTCCTGACTAGTTTTAATCAAGTAATATTTATTTACCTAGAGGAAAGTGAAAAAAAAAAAGAATAAGAAACTGTTAGTAAAAGCTTAAGATGACAATGAGTTTCTAAAATAAAAGAGGGAGCAGATTATAATGGTTTATGTTGTTCAACCTCCATCTAAAGAGTGAGAATTTCACCTTAAAAGATAAAATGTACATACATTTTATTCCAGTGGAGCACTACATCTTATTCTAGCGAGCTTAGTGCTGGCAAGCAGTACACCTTATTCTATTGATCTTAAACCCTAATCAATGAACAACAAATGAGGGGTGACAAATTATCAAAGAACATACTCCTGAACACTGTCTTCCAATTAAAGCTTTATAATTGCACGAACAGCTCCTTTTCTAAATTAGAAATGTTATTCAATGCTTTTTTATCATAAAAATATCATTTTTGAGTGGCGAGATAATAGATGAGATAATCAAAGTTTACAGTGTTAGCAAAAGAAAATTCTTATAGGAGTGAGAAAAATATCTTCGAGCTCTGCTAGGGTTTGCGGAATCCTCTCCCGCCACTTGCTTTCCCGCCGCCTCCCGGCCGGGGATGCCTCCCCCCATGGCCGCGAACGCTTTCCCCCCCACTCCCTTCCACCTCCGCCTCCACTGCATCCCCTGCTTCCACTGTCCTCCCGCTTTGGAAAAACCTTTTAAACTCCACCCCTCAAGTCTCTCCTGATTTCTCCCACTCCCTAACTTTCATTCCTGCTCAAAACTTCACTGCTGAGTTCACCACCGACCAGTTTAACGCTGGAGCTCCGGAGTGGTCCCTTTCGCTGGTTGGCTACTCGATCGGGAAAAGACCCTACTATGAAACTCTTCTGTCCGTGATTAAGAAGGCTTGGCAACTGAAAGGGTCCATTTCTTTGCTTACTATGGACGAGGGATTTTTCTTGCTCAAATTTACTGCGCTTGAAGACTACGAGTATGCTTGGATGGGTGGTCCGTGGTTCTTCTTTGGTAAGCCATTCATACTTCAAAAGTGGACTCCTGACTTTGTGCCTAAACGAGAAGAATTCCCGGCTATTCCCTTATGGATCAAAATCCTGAACTTGCCGCTATCTCTGTGGACACCGGAAGGTATCTCTAAACTTGCTAGCTGCATAGGGATTCCCATTGCTGTTGATGCTTTAACTGCTGCAAAAATTCGTTTGACATTTGCAAGAGTTTGCGTACAAATTACTAGTTCCTCTTTTCTTCCTGAGGAAATTTTTTATTCTGTTGAAGGAAAGTCGTATCCCCTTAGAGTCCAATATGACTGGAAACCCGAAAAATGTTCTCAGTGTGGCTCCATCATGCATCCACCGACTCTATGTCCAAAAGATCCAATCCTAAAAACCCAAAATGTTGAAAAACCTAGGGGAAGAAGTACTAGTAGAAGACCAAAACGCACGCCACCACCAAAACTCTACATTCCTAAACCTCCACTGACCCAAAATATCACTCAGTCGCAGCCTAATCATGACATACCTCCTCAACCTCCTACTTCCAATGAAAATCAAAATCCTAATGCAGGGACCTTAATCCCGAACCTTAACTCTCCCTCTGGAGATATCCAGGACATCACTGACTCCATAGCCCAGATAAAACAGCCTGTTACTATCACTACCAAAAACAAATTTGAAGCCTTAAATGGCCATGATAACATTGAGGAGACTCTGGCTTCTTCTTTCCAACAAGCCAAAGCTGATTTTCCCTCTAAAAATGACCCTACAAACACTACAAATCCTAACCTCAATAGTCCTTCCCAGACGTCACCTCGCTTACATCAACCTAACATCCCTTCCTCCTCTATGGAACCTTCCACCTCCAGCTCCACTTCATCTAAAGCCCAACCACCACCTAGCCAAAACCCAAAACAAACTAGAGGCAAAGCCAAAAAGGCCTCTACCCCCAATCCAAAATCCCAATGACCTTGCCCAATATTGCAGCATGGAATTTGTGTGGGTTTAACAGCCTGACCAAAGTTTTTAGCTGCAA